CAATCAGAACAACTTGACATACAGACCATCCCCCAGCACAGCCAAGTGCAGACCATCTCAGACACCTGCACTCAGGCCCATGGTCCTAATCATCCTCTATGCGGACCTGCTGGGTAACGCCACAAAGAACCCAAGAAGGGCTCCCACAGGACATACAGAACATCCCACAGCAGTTACCAGGGCAAAAGCAGAAGCTAAGAGAAGCCAGGGAAGCACAAGAAACTTAGCAACTGCAGAAGCCCGAAGTGACCTGTCAGCTTGCACGAACATTGTCTCTGAGTCATTATTGTGCCTTCCAGGTATCCCATCCTTCAGACCCCCGAAACTGCTGAGGCTGGTCCCCAGCAAAATGGCTGGGGATTGTAGAGTGCAGAGGGTCCACAGGCATGTCATTGCCAGACTACAAATTTCCTAGAAAGCCACAAGTTTGTCACAGCTGTTTGAAGAGCCGCAGTGATATGGTAGAGCCAGATGTTCATAATGCAAGAAGAACACTCTGACCCAGTGTGCCAACAGCGGTAGGGAATCACATAGCTCCTGTAGGAGATTACACACTCAGTTAATGTCATCTCCCAGGTGTTTACAGAGGTGACTCATCATGCAGTGTGGCCTCTCTTGCCATAGACAAATAGGTCAACTTATGGCAAGAATCACAAGTCTGTGGCTCTCCGTCTGGAGTTAATGAACATTTATAATTCAAACATGCAAAACAATTAGTATCAATACCAGTTAGATGTTAGCAGTGCAATTCACAACAGAACAATCAATTGGCACAAATGCCCTGGCATAAGATCACTTTTGTCCCCTGTGCCCACTGTAAACCTTGTCCAATCCCAGCAGTATCTATATTTGATATTTGATAGAGCCATAAAAACCCAAGTCTTCATATGGGCAGGATAGCAGGGCTTTAAACATCCCTTGTGTATAGGAAGACCTTAGCTTCTCTGTTTTCCTCTTGAATGTGGTCGGGGCAGGAGTAGCACAGGGAAGGATTTGGGATGAAGAAAGAGAGTGGCTTTGTCTGTTAAAGGACTTGTGTTGGCTTGTGGTTGTAAATGGCATGTGTCACCACTCAAGCCAACGAACTTCCAGTGTTTTTGGCTTTCACAATACTCGACTTTGCTTGGCAATGATACTTTCTTGTTCTGTGAACTTTTCTCGGGGAGACAAATATCTGTTCACCTCATTTACGGCACTGACGACAGACCAAAGAAGTGATTCCCACCAAGTCTGGTGTGATGAAGCAACAAGTTTAACTGTTTCTTACAGCAGCATGGCTTTGATGGTGGTGTTACCTACAGGAATGTGGGCAGTGTATGGGCAGTTACGCCACTGAAGAAAATGTCTCTACCTCCCAGCATTTTTCAACTGCTTTTTAACTTCAGGAGTGGTGGGGTCTTGTGAGTCTTCCCTCACTCCACAATTAAAGGTTGATGGTGCTCAATTTTATGGTTCCCATGCAGGTAACCACAGCTGCTGAGAGTTTAAGAAGATAATGGCCAACGTCGTGTTTGATGGACCACATTCCACAACACTTTTATTGCAAAAGAGGTGTGTGGGGGGATGTTTTGTCCACCTAGGACAAACCTTGGTAGCAGTCATTAAATTGTTAGTGGACCCAAGACTATTGCCAGATTGGCAAGCGTTGGGATCAGAATGGGCTCTGACCCCTCTAAGATTGCCCCCACCCACCTCCCCTGTTCTGAGTGCGCTGAGGTCAGGCTCTTTGGCGGATGTTTTGCTGTTTGGTATATCTCTTGGTTTGGCAGCTGTGGCTTCCTGGGGCATGCTGACCGTTCCTTGACCCTGGGTACTTGATAAACAATTTTGTTTGTTCCTCCTGAAAGGGTATATAAGGTGGGGAAGAAAGAATAAAAGAGTCCTGATGCTTGCAACTTGACTGGTGTGTGCTGTGTTCATCCCGACTTCCCTTGGCAGGTTTTGGGCCCAATTGTCGTGCTGGCGCAGCAGGCAAGTAAGTCCCCCATCCAGAGGATGGTTATCTATTTGGGCAGCTGTCTTTGAACCCATCTGAAACCACTCACCAGTTTCTCCCATTTTACAGGCAATCATGTAATAAAAGGAAAACCATTTATTGCACTATTCACTATGAAGTTTAGTCAACATGTTTCTTGTAAACCACATTAGCTGGCTTAGAAGGCTCCTCTCCTTCCTTCTGCAGAAAGTCACCAAAATTCTTTTGAGAACTTGGAAGGGTCAGCTCGTATCCCGTCACTGGATAGTAAGTTAGGCTGGTGCAGTTTGATGGACTCTGGCTGTTAGGAGACATGAGACTCCCCAGGTCAGAGAGAAGAGACAAGTTGTTATTTCAAACAAGAGAAGAAGAACATTTCCCCTGGGATTCCCTGTGGTCCAGTTTCTACAGGCTGACACAAGATGCCAGGGTGATACCAGCACATACCGTGCATTATGTTACAAAAGGTGACCCTGAGCTTGGGAAAGCTAACAGTTTCTAAACAGAAAGCAATATGCCCACCTTTACATCTGAAAGATATAATCTAGCTTCTAAGGGTGTTCACTGGACACCCATCTCTGAAAAATTAGTCCAGACAAAAAAAGCAGTTGCTTCACTCTCTAGGTGTGTTCTTTCTCCTAAAAGACACATTTTTAATGAACATAATACTGAGCCCATTGTTTACAGTAATTTCAATAAGTAATTTTGAGACAAATGCAAATACCAAAGACAATGAAACAAAAATTTGACTGGAAAAACCTTAGGAGAGAATGTTAAATATTTGCCTCCATAATGACTTTGGTAGAGATCAACAGTGAAGCCTTTCTGCCAACACTACATTTAACAAATGAAAGAGGAATAGCTTTGGTTTTTTTTTTTAATTAAATTTTTTTCTTTGGAGACAGGGCCTCTCACTGGCCTGAAATCCTAAAACTAAGCTGGTTGACCAGTAGGCCCTAGGTCAACAGGTTGTCTCTGTCTCCTCATTGCCCTATATACCCACCATGCCCATCATACCCTCCATGCCCACCACATCCTCCATGCCATCATGGCCACCATGGCCATGATGCTCACTGTGCCCTCCATGCTCGCCATGCCCACAATGCCCACCATGCCCAGCTTATTTCTTGTTAGTCTCTGGGAGCTGAACTCAGATCTTCATGCTTGTGAGATCTACCATACACTCATGCATGCATGCACACGTGCATGCACACATGTTATGGAACTAAGTATGTTAGTATACATAACCTGTTCTGTATTTAGGATTGTTTGCAGAAAATACAGCTTTAGAGGTAGTTGAAATTAAAATCATTCCTATTTCATATTTATTGATATGTCTGTTTATTCTGTGTGTATAAAAGCACACACTTGCCACAATACGCATGTGGAAGTCAGAGGACAGTTTTGGAGAGTCTGCTCCCTCCTTTCACCTTGTGGGTCCTAAGGAATGAATTGAACTCAGCCTTGAAGGCAAAGTTGTGGGGCCTAGAGACTACCTCCCCATCTCTGTCAATTTTTGGCTTGTTTGATCTTCTGTGTGAAACGTCTATGAATTGCTAAGTGTGACAGCCACGTCATGCCCAGACATGACATTCCACATCATTCTTTCCCGTCATCTACTCTTACATTCTGCTTCCTCTCCTGTGATGTCTGTCAGCCTTGGCAGGAGTGAGAATGTGGCTGATAAGGGGTGATTGGCTGATAAGGATGCCCCCGCCCCCTTGGGGCTGAGCACTCAGTCTCGCAGTCTCATCCATTTCGACAATTATTCACCTCTGTGCTGACTGTTGCCCTCTGCAAAGAGAAGTTTCCTTGACCAAGATTGAGAGCAGCCCAGGCCTGTGGTTATACACATAAATACTTAGAAGGGGACCAAATTAAACTTCTGAAAGCCGGGGATGCAGCTCATGGCCCAATACTTGCGCCTCTGCCTAGGTGCAGCCCTGGGTTTGATCTCCAACACTGAAAGTAATAGGAATTAGAACAGTAATGCTTCATTGTGAGATAATGCAAGATTCCCATACAGGTGTAAGAACTGACGGAGAGCCCTGCGGGCACCTTGTGCGGTCTCCCCGATCTTGCAACACCACTGCACAAGTTCAGAGTTGGGGCACCAGTGTGGAGGCAGTCACGACACAGAACGGTCTCACCACCACCGGGAGCCGTTTATAGCCAGTGATGTCTTCTAAACCTTTCCGGGACTCTTTAAATATGGTTTCTTGGCTACTCCAAACCTCCTTCTAATCTGTGAAGAAATGGAGTCCTGAGGAAGCCATCTGTCGGCTTTAAGGTAAATCAGCACTTAGGTAATTAGATTGCTTCAGACGGAGAGGACAGGATGATTATACCCCTCACGGAAAAAGATTCTATATACTCTCTTATAAATAGAAATAAAATACCTCATTATAGAATATTTAGAATGTACAGGGACAAAGAATTTGGGGGAAAGTTAGGCATCATTACCAACTGATTTGGTCTATTTCCTTACAACCTTATTCTTTGCTAAGAAATAAAAAGAGAATTTATATATCTATATATCTATACACTTAATTTATAAACACATTTATTTTGTTACTGTTATGACTTGAATGTTCTCATCAAAATTCATGTTGAAATTTGTGTTAAGGTGGATATTTAGACTATGATATTTAGAGTTAAGACTTTAGAGAGATAGTTAAGGTAAAATGAAGTCAAAAGAGGATAATTCAATTGGGGGCAATGTCTTTTCTTTCTTTTTCTATTGATTTTGTGATTCATAATGCTAAAGGTCAGACACAAGGTGTTCAGCATGCCAGGCAGGTACTCCACTGAGCTATATCCCTAGTCTAGAGCTGTGGATTTCTTAGAAGAGGAATAGAGAACCAGGCTAGTATGTTCTTACATGATGTGAGACTCTGCAAGGTCCGCACTAGCAATAGGGACCTGACCAGGTACGGGTTCCAGTTCTTAGACTTCAAAACCACTAGCCAAATAAACCTTTATTCTTTATAAATGAGTCAGTCTGTGTAGTATTCATTATAGCAATTGAAAATGAACAAGGACATGGACAATCTTGGGATTAATAGCATCAATGGAAACACAAAAGTTCTTAAACCATTTTTTTCTCTCATTTTGATGATCAGAAGACAATGAATGGAATAGTGGGTTCTTATAGGCATATTTTCAGATCTCTGTTTAAAATAAATGATACTCACCATGCAGGGTGGGTATCAGAAAAATCCATTAGTATAGCCGGAGGCTTTTCTCTGTACCACCCTGTCTTGCAGCCACTTGTAAACAATCATTCAGAGGCTTAATATTAATTATAAACTGTTTGGCCTATTGCTCAGGCTTATTACTAGCTCTTACAACTTAAACTAACCAATTTCTATTCATCTATATTTTGACACGTGGCCATGGCATTACTGGTCTGCTGTCATCTTGCTCCTTGGGTAGCTGGAAGGCGTCTCCCAGACTCCGCCTTTCTTCTCCTGTATCTCTGCTTAGATATCCTGCCTGACTCTATCCAGCCTTGCCATAGGCCAAAGGAGCTTTATTTATTAACCAGTGGGAACAGCATGCATTCATGGTGTATAGAAAGACATCCCACATCACATCAGTAGGTAGATGGCCAGGGACTTTTGCTTCAGCTGGACAAGAATCAAATCGGCAGGCAGCAATCGGAAGGAGCCTGAAGAGGTGAGGAAATGGTTGTCGCATGCAGAGACATATTTCCCATCATCATTAGATTAATGACAAAAGGTTGTTATATGCAACTGTGTGAAATGTCTGACTTGGTCCTCAGAGTTCAGAGCACCTGTCACTGTGAATCAGGCAGTCCAAGGGGGGCCCTTTTTAATGTACTCACCTGCCATTAATCCAGTCACTCCCTCCAGGGTCGGGCTCTATCCACAGACCCGGTGCTGCTGGGGACCTCTGCCAACAGCCTTCTAAATGCCAGTGGGCTGACTGATCAGTCCTCACTCAAACAAGCCTTCCCAGAGAAACCGCAAATTACCTCCCACTCCCAGAATAGGACCGACAAATGCAGTTATTTATATACAGTTGTTTTACACATGATCTGATCCATTTCACTCCAACTAATGAATATTTCCCAAGAGATTTTTATGGTTTTTTTTTAGGAGATCTTACTATAAGTAAAATTCTCTTATATGAATACCGTTATAAATTGGCATAAAAAGAAGGCGGCTAATTCCATATTGCCACAAGGATGGAATTATTTACCCCACCGTGCAACCACACTTTTCACTATTTATTTTAAGAATGATTCCTTTCACCAAATTCATGGGTGAAGCTAGAAGTCAGTTCATTTTTAAGTGTGGAAACAAGAGCAATACTTCTAAAAATAAAATAACTTGGATGCAGAGACAACTGTAATGAGATTTTTGTTTAAAATCTTGAAGATATAAATATGTGATCCTGTTATCAAAATCTATCTGAACATCAATTTTAACATCTACAAAGTGGAATTATCTGCACCAACACGACAGAGGTATTTTGATTCAATAGTGAGGCTTCCCAGCACGCAGATTCATCCTAGGGGAATCCTGATGTCCAAAGTCTCAAGAAAATGGGGCAAATCAATGTTTTGAGCTAAATGCCATTGACCAGCTGGTGATGAGGAGCAGGCCACAAAGCTTTCCAAGTCCAGCTTTTTTGTGTGTGTGAAATGATGTGGAAGAAGAGAGTGGCAGTCCCTGGACTGGATCAGGAGTCCCCAAAGTTCACAGAGCACCAGAATGATCTAGGGATGTTTTTAAAAGCCTAATAATACCCAGACCACACCTGAGACCAACTCAGTCAGATGCTGTTTGATTAAATCACACCAGTGATTTTTAACTCTCCCCAGGTGATTACACTCTACCACCAAGCTTGAGAGCTATGAGGCACCATGCCCCTAGGAAAATTTAACAA